ACCCCTCGAGGTGACAACCTCCCTCCCACAATCGCAAATGATTTTTATATCAATCCTTTTATCAGACCCTTGCCAATTGTTATAATGGTCCTATAAATCTTTGTGTTTATATAAGCCAGGGGCCGGTAAATTTTTTCTGTAAAGGGCCAAATAGTAAATATTTTAGGCTTAGCAGACCATACAGTCTGCTGCATCTACTCAACTATGCTACTACATCAACAAAGCAATTATAGATAATAGAGTATACTATGTTCCAATAAAACTTTAAACAAAATTTGAATTTCCTACAATTTTCATTTCAATGTGAAATAATATTCTTTTGATTTTTTTTCAACCATTGAAAACGTAGAACCATTCTTAGTCTTAGTTTTATAGGCTGCTGTACAAAAAAACAGGTGGTGGGCTGGATTTGCCCTATGGACCATAATTTGCCAACCCCTAATATAATGATATAAACAAAGAGTTTTAACATCTTCAAATAGTGTTTCTTCCTTTCTAGTCCTTGAGCTTTGATCTCTTTTTCTACACAGTTTTCTGTTCAGTGTTGAATAGCAGCAATGATAGTGTGTACCTTTTGTCTTGTTCCTGATTTTAAAAGAAATGCTTCCACTGTTAACACATTAAGAACAGCTTTTGCTGTAGCTTTTCTTCTATACCTAGCTTAAGAGGTGTTGGTTTTTGTTTTTTAAATCATGAACACTTGTGCAATTTAAGCAACTGCTCCCTCTAAATTATATGATTTTTCTCCTTTAAAGTAACCACGTTGTGTCAGAGATTGCTTGTTGTTTGATCACCAAAATCTAATAAAATTATAGTTGGGCATATGACTACTGAGCTACAGAACATTTCTCAATGTCTCTTGCAATTAGGTACGGTTCTCACCCACAGAACGTGCGCGGAAAGGACATACACTACTTCTGGCCTAGGCATAAAACAGTGAACATGCTTCCTTATGCTTTTTCCTCCCTTCCTGCTAGCTGGAATTCAGACAGCAGTAACTCACCTTTCATCTATAAGACAATAGTAACGCCCTAGGCCAGAAGTTCTCAAACTTCTTGATCTCAGGATCCCTTTACACCAGTGGGTCTCAACCTTCCTAATGCCGCAACCCCTTAATACAGTTCCTCATGTTGTGATGACCCCCAACCATAAAATTATTTTCGTTGCTACTCTATAACTGTAATTTTGCTACT